AGGCCAGGGCCTCAGACTATGCCCCGGTAGCCAAGTGGCTCTGTGGCTAGTTTGGACTAGAGTGGGGGAGTCAGACCTGTGTTTGGAAGAGGATGCTCAAAGGAGTTAGGATGAAGCAGAGGAAGGGAAGAGGGTGCTGAGGAAACTGAGCTAGTGGCTGAGTCAGAGATTTGAAAGAGCAACGGTGACTTAACCCGGCAGTGCCGAGAGATGTGGTGAGAAGCCCAGCTAAGAGCCGTTTCTGGAAGAGCATCAACAGGGGCTAGTGGCAGACTGTCTAGAGGATGGGACAGGAAGACTTCCCAGCAGGCTGTCTGCCAGTCCTCTGTCCTGCTTTCTGTGCTCATGTTTCTTCATATCCAAACTGACTTCGTAAAAGTTCTGAGAAACTCTTTAAGATGGAAAGTACCCATACAGGTGTACATGCCTGCAGATTAACAAAAACAAAGTTGTAGGTTATGAAAGTCTGTGTCTTAGAGACAAAATTGAAGATCATGTCATGTTGCTCGGGCTGTTAGCATCTGTTGAGGTTTGAATCCTGAATTTTCCCCTGCAGGCTCATGCTTTGAATGCTTGGTCCTCAACTTTTGGCAGACTGCGGAGACTAAGCAGTGGGCCTGGCTGGCAGAATACAGCACGAGCAGTCAGTCTTTGAAGGTTAGATCCACCCTGACCCAGCTTACACTCTGCTTCCTGGTCAGTCAGGATGTGAACAAGCCTCTCTTGTGCCCCATGTCTTCCCACACTGAGAACACTGAAGCCATGAACCAACATAAGCTTTTCCCGTCTTTAGTTCTATCAAGTCACAATGATGCACAATAGCCGATCCAAAACTCGGTACCAGTGAAGTGGGGCTAGTTCAGTGATATGGTGGTTCATAGACCTTTGGAACCCACTTGTGGAGGTAATGTAGAAGAGTTTGGAGCTCCGAGCCTAGAGAAGCCCCAGTATGCTGTAAGTGCACTTTAATGGGTCTGGTAAGAGCACAAAGGTCCAGAATGCCTATAGCGTGCAGACCGTAGACTGCTCATAGGTTTCAGATGGGGACAGGATTCTATTGGGAATTGTGCGAGACATTTGTGTTACATTCTGGAAAAGAATATCTGCGATCTGCTGGTATTTGAGTGAATCCGAATTTTAAAAAGCAGTGGACAGATTTACTGGGCAGAGGAAAGGTCAAGACAGTATAACATTCAGGCTGTGGCGGCGTCATTGCCGCCTTTTAGCTGGGTTTCTAGTGAGAACCAAAAGCAAAGAGTGAGACAGAAAGATCTGAGGCATGTGTATTGGGCAAGGGAAGGCGTGTGGATACAGCTGAAGTTGCAGACAAATCAGATGTAGACAAAAGGACTGGCGTTTTAAAAAATGTTTTTGTCTCACTGTGAGTCTGTTTTCAATTTTTCCTTTTTAAAACTTTTAGTTATTATTATCATCATTTGTGTGTGTGTGTGTGTGTGTGTGTGTGTGTGTGTGTGTGTGTGTAGGAGGAGGAGGAGGAGGTTAGAGGGTTGTCAGATTCCTGGAATTGCAGTGACAGGCAGTTGTGAGCTGCCTAGTGTGGGTTCTGGGAATCAAACTTTGAGCCTCTGTAGTAAGAATAGCACATGCTCTTAAGAAACCACTGCATCATCATCTCTTTAGCCCCAAGGCCTGTCGTTTTTATAGAGATGAGAAGCTTGTACTTTGCACTGGGACAATAGGAATGGTATCCTGAGGGCATGATCCTTCTCAAAATAAGCTCTGGTATCTAACTCTCCAAGCTCATTAGAAAAACGTTCATTTCTAAAGAGAGAGAGAGCAAACCAAAGGGGTCAAGGGTCACTGAGGGAAAAATTTCCCTAGTTTCAGCTTCATAGGACATATGGTACATAGAGGCCTGGCTGCTTAAGCTGGAAGCAGAGCTGGGCATTGACCATGTGGTGCTAGTTTTTCGGGCTCATAAATTCCAAAGTTATTGGATCATGGGGGCTTGCACCAATATTCCAGAGATAAACCTTCAGGTCAGGTAGCAGGTATCAGGGTCAGCTTCCCTGCGGGGACCCTCCAAGCAAGGTATGCATGAAATGTGAAGGCAAAACCTAAGTTATAACGGAGACTCTGGGATGCTGGAGATGCCAAGGATGGGGGATGATGTCTGTCTAGAGAAGCTGCATCAGCAAGTGGAGCTGGCCCAAGAAAGAGGCCATAGTGTCTGAGTCTGAGCTCCTTGGAGCCCAGATGGTGCCACATGAATCCCAGATGTTGGATATGGAACTATAGGATTTAATGTTTGCCTCGCTGGGTTCCAGTCTTGCTTTGAACAATCTAAATTTTCTTTTTCTTTTTTTGTTATTTTCCCATTTCTTCTTTTGGAATAAGAATGCTTGCTTAGGGCCATCGTATACCAGAAATATGTCGCCTTCTTTTTAACGTGACAGGGTTTCAGATCCCGTGAGTCTCAAAAGACACAGATGATGGACATGTCAGCAGTGTCGAGCCACTACAGGCTAAGGAGGCTTTTGAGGTTGTAGTGAACGCGTTTGCATTGTGAGATGGCCGCATGCTTTCCAGGCCAGAGTAGGGGGCTTGGGTTTGAATCTGAAATCTTTCCCCCTCCATGCTCATTTCTTGACTGTTTATTCCTCAGTTGGTGGCGCTGTTTTGACAGCGAAGGGGACTTTAGAGATAGGGCATGTATGGTGACACTGGGCACTAGTACCTGGCCTTTGAAGGTTATACCTACCTGGGGTTCTCTACTACTACTACTCTTCGTCCTGTGACCAGATGCCAACTCATGCTTCTGCTACTATGGGTGGAATATGGTGGAATATTCTGTCAGGCTTGTCCCACTACAAGGGACTGAAATGATGAGTTAAAATAAGTATTTCCTGACACTGTCTGTCAGTATTTGATCATATAGCGTAAAAGTAAAACAGTACATAGAATCCCACGTGGGCCTCAGCAATTTTGTCTCCTATTATTTGGGAAACAACCAGGTCTTACTCCAGGCCTGGATGTGCAGGAATGGACTCCTTCCAAGCCTTCCTCACAGGCATCCTGCACTTTCTGCAAGACCAAAGCATGGACAAGTCCAGAGATATTTCCATAATTCAACTGTGTCTTTCACAGCTGAACCTGAGGAGAGGAGAGGTTTTTTTCCCTAGTCTTACAGCTCTGTAGAGACATAGGCAGGCAAGAAGGGGTGTTTAAGGTCTATTCCTTTCTCGCCTTTTATGCCAAAGTGTGAGACCTGGTGTCATCTTCAGCACTGAAAAACAATAACAAAAACGGTTTGCGTCATTGTGGTTTTTTTTTTTTTTTAATGTTTTAGAGAAAGGTTATGTAGCTCAGAATGATCTCAGAATGCTAAGTAGCCTGAGGATGGCCTTGAACTTGTGATCCTCCTGCCTTTACTTCCCTAGTGCCAGGACTACAGCACTGCACAGTTACATGCAGTTTTGTGTGGTAGCTGGGATCTAATACAAAGCTTCATCTTCATGCATGCAAGACAAGCCCTCTGCCAGTGAGGCAACCCTGGCTTTGATGTCATTTGTTTGTTTTGTTTCTTCTATTGCTTGGGATAGAACCTGGGCTTTTGCTTCCTTGCTATTTCTCTCTCTCTCTCTCTCTCTCTCTCTCTCTCTCTCTCTCTCTCTCTCTCTCTCTCTCTCTCTCTCTCTCTCTCT